CCCTGATTTAAGATACTCATACTCTTGGTGAGATATCGACATATAAACAACTATTTACAAAGCAGTACCACTATCCTTTCCTCATTTATTCCACAAACATGTAGAATTTGCTCTGAGCCATGCACTATTCCAGTTGCTAGAGGTACAGCGCTGAACAAAATAGCCAAAGTAAGAAGTGCAGATGAATGGCTAGGAGAACACTGCCAAGGCGGTGATTAATTCTGCCCAGAGGTGGGATGTAAGAGGAAAACCTCAGAGAAAGTGACATTTAAGGAAGCCGAAGGACCGGGGAAGTTTGATGAGACGATACATTTTCTGTGCTTTCCCTCCCTGAAGCCATCCACGCGCTGGCTTCCTCCAGCGGGGTTTAATGTCTTATAGGCAGGGGACCATTTGGAAACCTTCAAAAGGCCTCTCATCCTGGCTCCAGTGAAGCTTGAGTCAACAATTCTATGGAAATCAGGCCTCTTTGAAGGCAAGTGTGGACTTTTCTCTGCATAAGCTACCAAGCGGTTTTTCCATTCCAATTTAAATATGTTCCGCTTTGCTTCAAGGACAGGGGGCTGGACAATGGATGGGATCAAAAGGAGTCACATTTTGCCACAAAACAGGAACCTGTTGGTGACACTCAAAAATGGAATGGGTGACTCCAGAAGGCAGGGAGATCTTCGTCCTGAAGTTGATCCAGCTGATGAAAAATGGACAGCTGTCAGTGATGCACCATGGACACCTATACCAGATAAAGGCTGGGACCTCTGTGCCTGACTTTACTCGTCTGAAAATGCAGATAAAAATAGTACCTACCTCGGGGTGGCCTGGTGGTGCAGTGGTTAATTTCGCACATTCCGCTTCGGCGGCCCAGGGTTTGCAGACCTGGATCCCAGGTGCAGACATGGCACCGTTTGGCAAGCCATGCTTTGGTAGGTGCCCCACATAGAAAGTAAAGGAAGATGGGCACAAATGTTAGTTCAGAGCCAATCTTCCTCAGCAAAAAGAGGAGGATTGGCAGCAGATGTTGGCTCAGGGCTAATCTTCCTCAAAAAAAAAATAATAATACCTACCTCACAGTGCATCTGTGGAGGTCACATGGGTCAATACATGATTGAGTGTTTAGAACAATGACTGGCAGGAAAAAATCCTCAATAAACATTTAACATATGGCAGTAACAGTAATAGAAGTATTAGTGGTTGCAATTCTATGTCAGTAAAATAAGCATCAGTATTATTAATGCTATAAGATCTTCAGAAAGCTCTAGATTAATGTTATTATTATTCCTCTTTTAACTCATTTTTCTATTCTTTTTCCTCATCTTTTCTTGCTAATAAATATCAAATCAGAGTCTTCTATGTGAGTTTCACAGTTTTTGGCACTGTAGATAATAAAACATTAGACCAACGAGTGATCAGGCAACAAGAGTCTTATGATCCAAAATCTCTATGGAACATTCTAGAACTGAGCAGTCCAACAGGAAGCCACTAGCTACGTGTGTCTTTTTATAGATAACTCAATTAAAATTATTTTTATTTCTGGGGGGAGGAAGAATGGCCCTGAGCTAACATTCACTGCTAATCTTCCTCTTTTTGCTTGAGGAAGATTGTCCCTGAGCTAATATCTGTGCCAATCTTCCTCTATTTTGCTTGTGGGATGCCGGCACAGCATGGCTTGATGAGTGGTGGTGTGCAGGTCCGTGTCCAGGAGCCAAACCTGTGAACCCTAAAATTAAATAAGATTAAAAACTCAGTCCTTTGGTCACACTATCCATATGTGGTCAGTGGTTGGCAAATTGGATAGTGTAGAGATAGGGCATTTACATCATTGTAGAAAGTTCTATTGGACTGTGCAGTTCTAGATTTGTCTGCATATGCACATGCATCACAATGCCAGGTAGACAATGAAAGGACTCGGGCACGTGGTCTCTGTGACCCTGCCTCTCTCTCCTTACTTGGCTGCTCAAGCACTCTGTGCTTCCTTTTCTCACAGGGCTCTCTCCCCTTGCTGGAAGCTCTGAAAATGCACCCACCACTCTCAGCACACACCGATGTACCCACGCTCTCTCTCTCCACACACACGCTCATATCTTTACCTGTTTGTTGATCTCTCTTGTTTCAAACCTCAGCTCAACTATAATTTCTCAGTGAGCCACCCCCACCCTCAACCTCCTGGATCTGGCCCTTTCTCCCTGTCACATACCTACACCCTATTGTCATCTCTTCTTATGAGCACGTTGTACAGGTGTGATTTTACAATCGTTTATGAGGTTACTTAATTAAAATCTAACTCCTCTAATATACTAAAACTCCGTGAAAGCAAAGATTATGTCTGGTTTTACTCACCATGTTATCTCTATACCCGACATAGTACCTGGCATATAATGGAGTTACAGTAAATATTGGGCAAATGACTGAATGAGAATAGACAAGATCACTCCTGGCTGGTGGATCAGGGCAGGCTTCAGGGAGAATGGGATGCTCTCTCTAAACCGTGGCGAGTCTACTTGCTAATAGCTGATCAAGACAGGCATGGCCCTTGTTGGGCATGTTGGGCAGTGGGACAAGAATCTTTTCAGGAATTGAAATGTGCTTTGGAGAAAAAAACATCTGATCCATGGTAGGGAGAAAAGGTTAATGGTTCTTCTTTCCCAAGGCTGGATCACTGATCCAATGACCATGCTCTGTTACATGCCCTCAGCACAACTTAGAAACACAGGAGCAGTGCTCTCATCGTAGACGAACAGAAAGCAGGGTCAGCCTTCTGTTTAAAGCTTCCTGATCCTGGAAATTGCTATTCATTTGTTCTTTGTTATAGCCCTTAGACTAATATTTAATAAACAACAACTACTTTTTTTATTCTGTGTGCCCTGAATATTGAGATAATAAATGGTCAAGGTTTGGTGAGCAGTTTATCCTGGACCAAACACTGTGCTAAATGCTTTAATCACCTCATCTCATTTAATCCTAAAAGCAGCCCTATGAGAGAGCTATTATTATTATTATTCTGTTTCTAAGATGAGAACACAGTGGACAAAGACGTTTAATAACTTGTCTTACCAACTCTACAACTACTTAACCTCTCAGTGCCCATTTTCCCATTGGTAGGATGTGGGTGCCAATCGTAGTTACTTCATAGCATTAGTGTAAGGGTTGCATAAGAAGACGTACGTAGAACATTTAGAAGGCATTCAGAGTCTGCTATTATTTCTCTTAGAATTAACTCATTGGCAATTTACATCATGAGCACACCTGCTCTCTGACTGTCCACAGGCTTGCTCTAACCTAAAATCATTAACTTTCAGAGGTGGAAGAGGTTCTAGGTTCTAGAAGAAAGTCATTTTATTGCATCCTAGGAAGTACATCAAGCAGGCGCAACTGGTGTAAGGGTATTATCAGAAGGCAGCATTGCCACCTTAAGCATAGCACTGGGTGTGTTCACATGTGAAACCTTGTTTAATCTTCACCAAGTCCTCTGTGAGGTGTTAACAACCCTTACACGACAGTTAAGGAAACTGGCTCAGAAAGATTAAGCAAATATCTCAAAGTCATGGAGCTAATGAATGAAAGAAACTCAGGACTTTATTAAGCTACATCTCACACTGTTATCTGAGTTCTAACGAATGAGACATATCTTGGAGATTTAATTATTGCACTTAGTAAATTGTCTTCAATTATCCATATTTTTAAATGATTTTCTAAAGTGATTTTTTAAGCACTTTACTCTATTTCCCTATGGAAAAGATGCTTTCAATATTTTCCCTTAGACTATTTTGAGAGGAGTATAGCAAAGATGCCAAATCAGATAACATTTTTCTTGAAAAAAAAAAAAAATACATGTAAAAAATGTTTCCTTCAAAACATTTTGAAAAACTAGAAATCAACCTTCCTGTTTTGTCTTACAACTACTAAGTTTCAAGGTTATGTGTTTTAAAGATCATTTAACAACTTCTTTTTAGTATCAGACTAAGGTGCTGTGACAGGTAAGCCGCTCACATCTGCCTGAACATTCCTGGGGGCTGCAGAATCCGAGTTACACAGGTGAAACTGTCTAGCACAATACCAAGGAAGAAAAAGGAAGGGAGGAAGGAAGGAAGGAAAGAGAAAGAAAAAGAAAGAAAAGAAAAAGAAAGAAAGATAGCAAATGGTCACTACGTATCCGTTTAATGTTAAATTAACCAATACCTAAATTCTGCACATTACATAAGCCTTTGCAGGCATGGACATGTTTGTGTTCCAAAGTAACATGAAATATACCATCAGTGGGTCTTAGTCATTTTGTACCTGAGAACCACATATGTGTCTGCCATGGAAAACACTCACTGACGTTTGCAAAACTTACTTTTTATTTGACGCTCAAATTGTCACTATTTGGACAGCATTTTATTGCATCTTTATTACGTAAATGAAAATAAAGCAAAATCAAAAATGAAATGTCTGCTTCCTGCCCCCAGAAGATTAGGAGATAAGGACAGGCCTAAAATCATGTGGAGCCTAAACTCTAATCTGTCCTTTCACTCCAAACCCCATAAACTGCCACTGTATGGCTGTACCTATTTTCAGGAGAAGGCCAGTGTAGTGGGTTGAATAGCGTCCCCCTAAAATTCACATCTACCTGGAACCTCAGAATGTGACATTGTTGGGGATAGGGTTATTGCAAATGCAATTAAAGCAAGAATGTAAAGGTGAAAGTATGCTGGATTAGGGTGGGTTCTAAATTTAGCGACAGGTGTCTTTATAAAAGACAGGAAAGGACACACAGAGACATGGGAAAGGTCACGTGAAGGTGGAAGCAAAGATGGGACTGTGCTGCCACAAGCCAAGGAAGCCTGGAGTTATCAGAACCCGGAATGGATAAGGAAGGATTCTTCCCTGGGTCCTTCTGATGGAGTGGGACCCTGCCAACGCTTTGATTTCAGACTTCTGCCCTCTAGATCTGTGACAGGATAAAATTCTGTCTTTTTTAAGTCACCTAGTTTGTGTTCATTTGTCATGACAGCACTGGAAATCTGATAGAATCCTCATCCTTATATCGCCCTGGAGACCCAGGTACACTCTGCAAGGAGCTCTTCCTTCTGAAACCAGAGCATAAGCCAATGCCCTCTCCTGGGGAGCCTGCTTTGCCATAGTCCACTGTGGCAGTTCTTTCTCCAGTGGGACCACATCGGGAGGACCAGCCCGGAAAAGGATATCATGCCACATGTTTCAAAGACCAAAGCGAGGAGCCAGCCTTCGTCTGGATTTTATGAGAAAGAGCTTTGTTCTCTCTAGGAGCTCATTCACAAGCAGGTGAGTGGATGCCAAATAGCCTCAATTCTTTATTGTTATCATGAGATAGCGCTGACTAAAAGTCAGAGAGGATGCAGGTGACTCTGCTTTGCATGCTGTTAACATGGCCCTACCAAATAACTCTGGGGAAGATTCATTTTCTGAATTATATGTATTATTTCTAGTCATCATTCTCAGCTTTGTACTGTACAAGGAAGGTAACAAGAGTGCTTTTGCTCACGGATCTAAAAAATGGTCTTAGTGTATTCACGTAGAGCCACCTAGGAAGGGTGCTGGGGGACAGGGAAGACGGATTCACCTTTTCCTCTAAGGAAGCTCACCTTCTCTCTGGGGACAGACTCAGAAGCTGTAAGAGTTTCTGGTCCCACACGCAGAGTTCAATATGTAAATCTGCTCTTCCTTCTCCCCTCATCCCGTTCTCATCATGTTGGTCTGCATGAGGGGCATCCAGTGCCTCCCTTCTGTGCCGTCCTCTAGCATTTTGCCCTGAGCTTATAGCTCAGCCCATTTGTCACATCTCAAGAGCCCCTCTGATAGCCTAATCGAATGCCACCCCTTCCATCTCTCTCGGTCACGTCATCTTCTGTTCATTTCTTTTCAGCAGTTTTCACTGTGACCATGTAACGCATTTGTTTGGTTGTTGTTTGTTTGTTTGTATTTTCACTTTGTATCTCATCTCCATGTCATATAACTCTCTGAGAACAGATACATTGTGTTTTCTCTGCTGCATCCTTCACACCTGGAACAGTAATTCTCTCAGAAAATGTGCTCAGTAGATGAATAAAAGAAGAGAAGAATGCATTTTCACCACGTACCTCCGAACAATTCTATGACCAACTACCTCAGCAATTGGCAGTACTCTTCTTGGGTCCCCAGGTCTCAGCTGGTGGTTTTCCCATAACCCGGAACCAAAGTTTTCAGGAAGAATTTTGAAATACTTTGTGTAAGTATTGATTTTTAGGGAATTATAATTATATTGATCTCACCATTTTGTAGGTCTTAATGGTAAAATTGCATGAGATAAGGCAACACTCAGACAACTTATGGTCAGCTAAAGGGTCTTGCCTTGGGACCTTATCCTCTCTCTCATTAGGACGTCAAAGAAAAATAGGTAGAAATGTTAGTTTTACAGCTAAGAAGCACTGAGTGGATGTTGGACATGCCCTAGACTTTCTACATATGTGCACATAACTCTTGGAGATGGATGTTACCACCTTTCCAGGGATGGCTCAGGGAGGACGGAAAAAACTTCTACTCAGAAGAGAAGGCCAACAAATGAAGCAGAGAGCTCAGACCCAGCCCTAATGTCATATCTCTCATTGTCTCCAAATCCAAATCGTATATCTGTATCTTAGAGTCTTGTAAGCCTAACCTTGTGAAACGACATCATGTCCAAAAGTTAGTGGTTTTCTGGAGCAGCTCCTAAAACAATGAACTAGGACCAGCATCTGACAAACTGCTATTGGAGTCCAAAGACCAATAGCAGCTTATAACGGCCAGTGGACATTGGGGCATAGTGGAACGAGCCTTTAATGGAGCCAGACCTGGATAAACACAGCAAGCATCTCTGGCAACCAGGAATAAAAAGATGAAGAAAATCAGCTTTCCCTCCAATTTTCATTGAGATACTTTTGAACAACTACCATTCAGGGAGGTGGGTCTTGAATTTATACTGTCGGAAATTGTCTTTCCCCAAGCTACTGACATTTGGAAGGTGCTGCCTCAGGTTCTGTGTGGAGACAAGTCAGCACTTGGCATTTCTGTGAATGTCCTACTCCTGTTAAAAAGGCCTCCTGATCACCCTTTCTGGAAAACTTCCAGTCTGGAGGATGGGAGCAGCTCTGACATAAAAGGTTGCTGTTCTTGTCAGATGGGAGAAGTTGCATCATTTATTACTGTAGAACTCCTAAAGGGCAGGCACTGGAAATATTCAGAGCAGAATCTGCTCTGACTCACTGCAAACTCCCTGGTGACCCTGGCCTGGCCACATGCCCTCTGGGTTATCACTGCTCATATATAAAACAGAGAGGATGGAGACGATGATGATTGCTAATATCCTTGTAGCAATAAAATTCACCATCCTAATGCATCCATGGACATTTTTGTTCTCCAGGTTTTGGAACTTTCTAAAGGTAACATCGAGGGTAACTACACACTCACAAGCACCCTGAATTTGTATGTGATTTCTTGCCAGAGCAAACTGTCTCTCAAGAGTCAGGCCAATTGTTTTCTAAAACTAGGTAGGGTACGTGGACTGTGTGGGAGCCAGTGCCTCCAGAGGTTGGGTGGCATGCCCGGGGTCATGGGGTGTTAACTGCAAGGTGAGGTTAGCAGGCAGTATCCTGACTATAGTCCAGTTCACTTTTCACCAAACAGTGCTAATGCCCTGGGATCTCCTCTGCTAGTTAAAGCTCCTCTAAATTATACGGCTCTGCATTGATATGTTTGAACATGGAATATTGTGACTGTACTAGTCACAGTTCTCTGGGACAAGAGAGAGACAAAAATTTTAAGGAATTAGCTCACACAACTGTGGGTCCGACAAGGCTGAAAGCTGCAGGGCTGGCTGCCACTCAAAGTGGATGTTGCTCTCTTGAATCTGAATTCCAAAGGGCAGCAGCCTGGAAACTCAGGTAGGATTTCTATGTTGCCATCTTGAGGAGAATTCCAGAATCCATTCTCCTTCAGGAAACTTCAGTCTTTTCTCTTAAGGCTGTCAGCTGACTGGATGAGACCACCCACCTTATGGGGGGTAATCTGCTTTACACAAAGTCTATTGATTTAAATGTGAATCATATCTAAAAATTGTCGCAACAGCATCATCTAGACTTCTGTTTGACCAAACAACTCGGTATCCTAGCCTAGCCAAGTCAACACACAAAATTAACCATCACAGTGACCATATTTAATCTACCAATAAGGATTATTGGGTGACATAGGCTTTTGATTCTGACAAAACTGGCTTGCAAGCTTGAATTTGCTACTGACAAGCTGCATGACTTCAGGCAATCTTAACTTCTCTGAACTTCAGGTTTCTTACTGGTCAAATGGGTTATATAAAGATTCGTTGAGATAATGCACACAAATTCCTTAGCAGAGAGAACACAGGGTTTGCATGCACCATCGACGTTCACTTCTCTAAGAAGCCTTTTCTAATCCTGTCTAAACAAACTCTATCTCTTGTTCCCCTTTAGAATGTGATCTGAATTTTGATTGATTAATGTCCAGAGTCTGTCTTAGGTAACGCTTCTATTGCTTCTTTTTATATTCGTTCATTCAACAGATACACTCTATCACAGCAATGATGGTCACCAACTGCTGACCACTTCTTATGGCCTATTGCTGTTCGTATTCAACACTTTCCATGTATTAACTTATTTAAACACAGCAACAACACTAGGAAACAGGCATGATTGTTATTACTCCCATTTAAGAGATGAGAAAACTGAGACCCAAAGAAGTTAAGGTATCCATGCAATGTCATACAGCTAGGAAATAGTGAGCCAGAATTCAAGTCACAAATCAGTGTGAACTTAATAGAGGGGCACTTCTTCCTCTTGTCTGTAACCTGCTGTATCTACTCAATTCAATGACCCTTTGTTGGAGGTAAAATAACTCCCGCTTTAATGATGCCCATGTCCTCATTCACAGAAGGTGTAAATATGTTAGATTACACGGAAAAGGGGAAATAAGATTGCAGATGGATTAGGATTACCAATCAGCTGACTCAGATCATCTGGGTGGGCCAAGTGTAATGACAAGGGTCCTTATAAGTGGAAGAGAGGAGGAGGGAGAGAACCAGAGAGCTGGCAGCATGAGATGTTGCTGGCCTTGAAGATGGAGGATAGTGGCTAGAAGCCAGGGGGTGCAGAGGGCCTGTAGAAGCCAGCAAAGGGGGGGAAACAGATTCACTAGCACCACCACACATGAACAGAAGCCACTGGAGTGTAGCCCAATGAGAGCTATTTTGGACTCCTGAGCTCCAGAACTGAAAGATAATAAGTGTTTGTTGTTTTAAGCAACTAAGTTTGTGACAATCTGTTATAGCGGCGATGGGAAACAAATACACCTTTATTGATGCAAGCCCCACAATTTAAAAGAAAAAACAAGAGTGCACACGTGCACAGTGGTTCCCAATTTGCATTTCACATGCACTATGTAATTTGATCTTCACCCTACTCCAACGTGAAGATTTATGACCATCATATCCGCTTTATGAGCGAGAACATTGATACTCAGAGAAGTCTGGAAACTTAAGATTTCCCGGTGAGCAAAGGCTGGAGTACAGCTTACGCCTCCACAGGGCAGCTCTGGCCCCTGCGCCAAAAAAGGACTTAATCCATGTTTCCAGTGAATGAAGAAGAGTGCAACAAGCTATTTAACACAGACTGCCCTAGATGCAGGATTTCGAAGGAAGGCCTTCCTGCTGAGTCAGAACTTACACAGTGACCCCCCTGCAGACCCCTGTTGTCCCCCGCAGTGTCCCCTGTGGTTGGCTGCTTTCATTACCCAATTTTCAAACAAGTTCATAATCGCGGCTGGTGCCCACCTGAAACTCCAAGGCTGCAGGAAAGCCGTCAAGGTCCCCTCTCTGCAACAGCATCCTGTTTCTGTCCTCACATCAGGACACCCGCAGGCCAGAAAGCACACTCTACTCCCACCCCCTCCTTTTTTTCTCCCCCAATCAAGCAAATGGCAGAGCCATGTGAGTCTACTTCAGAGTCCACTTAACTTAATTGAACGGAATGTGATTTCTGCAAAGCACAGGTGGCGCTGGAGACAGTGTTGTGCTGCTTATTATCTGATTTGAGGTGGCGGCCTCCAAATGAGCTGCTGGCTGAGCACATTTTAATGCAGTGAGCCTGAGAGGAGTCCATGCTGAGAGGCAAGGGCGGGGGGCTAGGGTGGGCCTCTCATCTGCTGAGATGGGCTGCAGTGAGCTGGGCATTTGGAACGAGCCATCCCGTTTAACGCTCCCAACAATTCCAGGTACAGGGAGGATCATCCTGAATAAGAGATGAAGAACTGAAATTCAGAGAGCTTGTGTACATTCCCCAAGGTCACACAGCAAAGGAGGATATGAGTCTTTGTCTGATTTCCCAGGGCAGCTGTCTCCCCTAGCATGCCTTTTTGGAATAATTACTCCTTTTAAAAATAATTCCTCAGGAGCAGTGGAGGTGGGGGCCTTTGGATGAGTAAGAGATGAAATCTTGCTCCTGAGAGGCAGATTGTTAAGAACAGGAAGCACTGCCCATCTCCTTGGCTCTAACATCACATCGTCTATACAATCACAGGTTCCGTTCTCTGGCAGACCTGGGCTGAGCCCCGGCTCTGCCCTTTCAAGCAGCAGAAACTCCAGCAAGTCACTTATCTTTCTGAGCCTGTTTTCTCATCCACACGCCGGAAATAGTAACAAACTCTTTCTTAAAAGCCTATGGGAAGGATTAAATGAAACTACATGATTGTACATTTTACTGCGTAGAACTCCCATCGATATCTTCTTAGTTACTCTCTATGTTAATGTTTGTCTGTAGCAATCCTTTTCCTCTTGTAAAGACTTCCCAACTGTTCCTTGTGGATTTATTATTCCTTTGTTTGATATCACAACACATTAACTCTCTGTCCTCTGTTCAGCTGACACTCATTTTCTCCATAAGAATTGAGGATTACAACCTTGCCAATGAGCAGGGAAGTAGGAAAAAAGTGTGAGTGGAAATTATATGCAGGAAGATAAACTATTAAGTAAGACACCATCTGGTGTTAACGTCTGTGATATTGTGATTTATAATAAGAAATATATATTTGGTCTTCGTTCTCATTTCTGGCACAGAGCTCCCGAAACCCTTGGAATTTCGTAAGTGTTGAGTGCGATAAAGATGTCTTTCATTATATTAATGAGGTAACTTTTGGTACACCCCTAAGGATGGGGGCTGGTCACCAGAGGAACCAACCATGTGATTGAAGGATTGGAACTTTGAGACATTCCCTGCCACCACCTCTGGGGCGGGGAAAGGAACCCCAAGAAAGCTTCTTTGGAACCTCTGCTCTATGGGTGGCTAGGGAGAAGCACAGGTTATAACCTGAGCTTGCCACTGGCGTCTGAAGTAGGGGTAGAGGGTAGTCTTGTAGGACTGAGCCCTTAGCCTGTGAGATCTGATGCTACTCCAGGTAGACAGTGTCATGAGTCGGCTGAATTGTAGGACACCCTACTAGAGATCACCCCCCCCCCCACAGACACACACCTGTTGGAAGTGGGTCCAGAACCTTTAGCTTCTTCCCCCCTACATTGTCCTAAAAAAGAAAATTCAGCATTATACTTCAAAAGACTAAGTTGTTATTTCTCACTTTAGGGAATAAGTCTAGAACCTCTGTATTTTAAAGTCTTTAAGGAATTAAAGTTGCGACCATTGAATGGAGATTGTTTTAGTCAGCTGCACAGAAAGAGCTGCCTCCAGAGAAAGAATTCCAAATGTCCCTAGAGAGAATGGGATTAGAGCTGTTAGGATAACAATAATTTTCTTTGGAATCCTTTAGCATGGACAGTATGATATTATCTATGTGATAGTTTGAGCTAAACTGTAGAAGCTGCTACTTGCCTTAATCAGAAATATACACTCCACAGATGGCAACTAGGGGTTTCAGTTATCTTTAACTCTGGTCAACACCAGACATGTTGCTAATCAGCATAATGAATGTTAGAAATATGTTGTCACTGGTGAAATTCAGACTTTATAGATAGCATGATAGACCCTAGAAATAGGCTCTTGGTGTAATTAATAGTATTCGAGATATATCAACTGCTAAAATATTTCAGAGACATTCCCAATGTGGCATGGAAAGGGCATATGCACCTAGAAATGCTTTTCTGTTCAATAAAATGGATTGGCACTGGACCCATGGTTTAGGAAAAAGTCCTGCATCCACCTTGGATTCTCAGGGTTCTGTTTGCTGAAAATAACTAAGGCTAACTAACTTCTCTTCTAGAATACTGCTGTGTTTTTGACAAAAGGGTTTCCATACACAGGGCCATCAGAGCACCTAAAAGAATAAAGAGTTGGGATATTTTTCAAGCTATGTGACTGGTTTTATATGTGGTTGATGATATATGTTTGTTTTACAGATGTTATGTATCAGTGCTTGTTTGTGTTCAGCATTGTACTGGACACTTGAACTAGAAATGACTAATTAATAGTGCCCCAGGTTCATGAAGTTCATCATGTACCATGCAGGAAACACTGATAGGTGCCTTAACAGTTACAAAATTTGCATCCATAACATGGAAGGGAACTTTTCAAAAGAGGAAGATCCAGTCAACTCTTGACAGCTGTGGTCTTCATTCTAACCCTCTTCTCTCTGCTTACTTGCACCATATTTCATCTTTTTCATCTTATTCTCCACCCCTCTGACTCTTCAGCTAAAGCTCTACTGGCTTCTCCATTGGGCTGTGTTGCCTCCAGGTTCCTGACCTTGGCACCCCTCCCTCACTTTGATCTCTTGTAGAGATGACTTGAGCTTAGGTGGAAGAGTAGTTTTGCCTCCGATACAGATTTGAGCATCTCAAGTAGTGGGGTTGCCCAGGGAGAAGAAATGAAGAGAGAAGAGAAAGGAGCCAGTTGCAGGTACCTTTTGTCAGGGGCTGGGGCTGGGCATGGGTTGTCAATATATAAGGAGTGAGCAAGGAAAGAACAGGAGTCAAAGGGAAAAGAAGACAGAGCTCAATGCTTGAAGGGAGAGAAGGGTTTCAGGAAGGAGGCAGTAGGATAATCATACTTTCTTCTCTATTTCATGTTCGGCCTGGTATCAATTTCCCCTAAGGCCTTCAGACAATTGTCAGAGAGCTTTCCATTTTATCAAGGCTGTCTGCTGTCCTCTGTTAGAGTCAGAGGAGAAAGGCTCCTACCTATTAAATGTTCATACACATTACTCTTTCTTCCAGGAACTGACTTCTCATCCTATTTTATTCCAATAACTGCATATTCTTTTCTCTTTCCCTGTCAGCCTCATTAGGTTAATCTCATTTCAGCACAGACATGGATTAGTGAACTTTCTCTGAGAGGCTGCCCACGCTGATGCTGGGTGCCAATATCTGGAAATGGAGTAGTTGAGGTCTGCAGAGAAACTGACTTTGATCAGCTGAGCACAACTCATGCCTTTTCCTGGAGAAGAAAGAAAGGAAGGGGTCCAATGATTTGGTGCATGGAACCAGGTCCTGCTTGGATGCTAACAGCTTATAATCACTGGCTGAGATGATCTGAAACCCTTTCATTCCATAAAGCACATAAACGTGGCATATGGGGAGGATCCGAGTGTGTTTAGAGAGAGTGAGTGACGTCTTGTTTTTGCAGTGTTAGATGAATGTGATGGATAACATTTAAGATTTTATTGGGATAGAAAGCTCCACAGCCCCAAAATGGTTAAACTCCATTGGAGGTGTTTTAAAACTACAGTCTGCCGGTGAAACCTGGCCCACTCTCTGTTTTTGTGAATAAAGTTTTATTGGAACCTAGCCACACTCATTTGTTTATGGGCTGCCGATGGCTCCTGTCATGTTGCAGCAGCAGAATGGAGTCCTTGTAACAGAGACCATAAGGCCCACAAAGACAAAAATATTTGCTATCTGGCCCTTCACAGAGAAAGTTTGCTGACCTGTTGGCATTTGAATCTGTAGTCCTGGAGATCTAGTGAAGATTCTTGATCAATCCTGTTTTTTTGTTTTTGTTGTCCTTATTGGATTTTGTGTGATGGCTTTTTGCTTTGATTTTTAGAAGTGACTATGTAGCAATCTGCGGGCTGACTTTGAACGGCCGATCAGAAGAGATCAATCCAACCATCACTAAGAGAGCAACTTTTTCTTTCTGGACTCAAGGGGACAAAGTGGAATAACACATGTGTTTTATCCTAATGGCAATGTGGTGAAAGGAACGATGATAATGCTAATGAATCATACTAGTAAGGGGAGAACGCAACACAGAAAACCACGATACAGAGCAACGTGTCATATGTGTGTTGTTTCCAAAAGGCCATGGGACTACACCAGGTTGAGCATCTGAGCCAGCTTCCTGGAGGAGTGAGCATTTGAGCTGAGGATGGTTTTAACAACAACAGATTTGGGGAAAGTCATTGCTATATGAACAGACTGTATGCACGTTTTTCCACCTCTGAGGTTGCCTTCAGGACGTCAGTGAAATCCACGAGCACGGTAGGAGCTTTCAAACCACTGCCCAATTCCATTTATACTTTGTTTCATTTCATTTTGGCCTGGAGCAAATTTCCAGATTTTTTCTTTTTCACTTGTGCAGATATTTCATGACTAATTCTAATAATTAAAGCAGAAGCAAAGGGAAAATGAGGGAACCATTTTATTCAATCCATTCATCTTGGTTGCCCCATTCAGCAACTTACTAAGTTAAATCTCAGATTCATTGGGGATATGTTTGAAGCAGTAGAAAATTGAAAATGTATTTCCACTACATTAAGGAAACGGTCATTTTCAAAATGAATTTCTTCATGAGAAATAATCAGAATTAGATAAGGATAGAGAGCAAATGCCTACAATATTTAGATGGCTGAGATATTAAGGGTGATTAATTATCATCTTAAAATATCACAGGCAATGCTTGCCTCATCTGTTCTCCTGAATTGACCTCTTCTGTACCCATTAGGCTTTTCATCAGTTGAAGTGAGTTTATAAATGGACCTTGCACAAGCTGGCTCTCAGCACGTGTGGCTGTGAGGAATGGGACACTGCTGATGGTGAGACTCCTTGCCTGTTGACTCCTGTCACTATGGAAGAGAAAGATCGTGGGCACCAGAGTCAGACAGACCTGAATTAAAATCCTTGAAATTCACTTCTCTTTGGCTCATTTTTCTGGGCTGTTGTAACAGTTATTTTATTTGGTTTTTGCAAGGACTAAATGAGAAAATAAATATATTAAAAAGATTAAAAAACAGTACAGTGTCTAACACACAGCAGGAGCTGGATAAATGTTTGTTTCCACCTTCCTTGTTCACACAGATTGATTTCCTTTTAGAAACAATGACTTGGGGAAAAGGGGGACTGTTTTCTCTCCTCAAATAGATGAAAGTTCGGCATCCAGAGCAGGGCAGATGGCTTATGTGTGGTCCTTTTGAAGTTCGGTAGAAACAATGGGATGAAGCCATGTTTAACACACTCTCCACGCAGAGAGAATGAGGGTCAATTCCCAACAGCTGTTTAATGCTAGAGAGTAAGAGGGTATGTTAACTGAATGCTTCTTATATGCCAGGTGCTATTCTAAGTGCTTAATCCTCACAACAGCCTTAAGGTACAGACACTATTACAGATAAGGAGAAAGAGAAATTGCCTTATCTGGGCACAACAATCAGCAGGTACATCTACCCAAAGAAATAGGGTCAGAGGAAAATAAGTGCATTGTTACACTCTACCGTGTGAATATAAATCAGTGCTCATTCCCAATAAGGTACTCAGCAGAATCATGTAGAAATATTTATTTAAACATAGGTAATTCGGCAGCTGGAGAGTTGGATTTATTATACCTGGGAGGATGTATGTGCATTTATATGTTTATAAATCCCTGGGGATTTTGATTTTCACCAATTGTCTTTATGTGAGAACCACTGATAATGCATAATTAAAAGAAATGTTCAGACTAGACTAATGAGACCATGGGGAGTGTGTAGGGGGATGCTGGGGAATTGAGCACGGAAAGTGATTTCTACACATGGAGAGAGTCAAGAGGAGAAGCATGTAGACTTGTTCTATGTGTTTCCACAAGAATCAGGGCCAGCGGGTGTAAGATAAAGAAAGGCAGGTTATATGTGAATTTGGGAAGTCTTAGGAGTGAAGGTACTACCTTCTGAAACACTGACGTGTTTGGGGGCATCCACTCAAAGGCAGGGAAAACATATTCTTGGAACATAGTGGAGAAGTTCCTGCAGGAGGTATGAGGTGTAGAGGTCAGAAAGGATGATTATGGAGGTGACTTCCTGTTGAGTAGGTCCTTAATTCGCTGGGATCGCCACAGGACTCCATCACATTCTGCACAGGTGTTTCCTAAGCAAATTAGATGACTTAAAAAAAAAAATCTTGAGTATAGAGATTATTTTGTGTTCATCCTCCTTTCTTTTCAAAGATAAATGATTCAAAACTACAACTGCAACATTTTAAGAGGTAATCATAAACCAAATTATTTCTCAAAACGTTGTGTTTTCAGTATGAAGATGCTGTATTATCTGGTCTGTCTCCAGAGAACCTTGTATACCCCGTTCTTGTCAGCTTGCTGCCACTCTAGAAGCTGTTGTACAGCCTGCCCGGGGCAACAGGTGGAAATGTTACCCTGAGTTAGAGTCAAACCAATGTATGATGAGAAGCTTAGAAGTGGATGGAAGTTTGGTGAAGAAGAGAGCAGCCTGAAGTTTTGAGGAAACGATGCTTTTTCAATGGCAGTACCTTTCGTTGTCTCTGCTGTGCTAAGCAATAATCATACCAATTTTAGGCCTCTTTTGAATACAAATGATGCATAACCAATTCAACCTGGAATAGACAAAAAGGAGATTTTTTTCTCTTGTTATCTAGAGGGCAGATGTTCAGGAGCTGCATTCAGGGGTGACTGCAAACACCTCTAGGGCTCACTTTTTCTTCCATCATTTCTGCTTCTCTAAACCTCTCCACTTCATTTCCTCTGCTCACCTTCCTCCAGAGGCACTCCAGATTCACATCTTTAAGGACTGTCACCTGAAAGAGAATGACTCTTAGCATCTCTGGTACCAAGTTTAAATTTTGTCAAGTGTGTCTGACTAACAGTAGAATTTCATATTTGGGTGAGAAAAAAATGCATACCAAAGACAATGAGAAGGTATGCTGATGAAAATTTCAAAAGATAAAAAGGAAGAAAGAAAAGAAGGAAGAGAGGAGGGGAGGAATAAGGAAGGAAGGAAAGAAGGGAAAAAACAGAATGAGTACCCACGACTGAGTTAAATATTTTCAGAGGTGAAGCGATTCCTCTGAGACAGTGGAGAGGTGTTAATAGCAGACCATAAAGGGAGGTAAGACATGAGCAGAGGTGGAAATGGAGTGGAGTTTTTGCCCTGGTAGAAAGAATTTGACTGTGGAACCAGACAGACCTGGTTTATTAGTCAAGATTCTTTTGCTTTCAAGTAGCAGAAATTCAACTAATATAAAAAGAACACCATGCAGGTACATGTTTAGGACTTTCTCTGTTCATAACTGAATCCAGTGCCCAAAGATTCTAATGAATTTCTTTCTGTCTGACTTTCTTTAATTTTTGCAGGCCTGGCTACCATCACCAGCAGCTTCTAGGTGGTGATAAAGATGGCCCTGATCTGTGTCATGGTCACTTCATGTCACAGTTTACAAACTCAGAGGCAGAGAGGCTCTTCCTTGCTCACAGTTCATGTTAACCCTTCTGGCTGGGATCCACATCTGGGGGACCTCACACGCCCACCTCAGAAGCAGTCAGCGAATCCCTCAGGATAGGGTACAATGGCCTGACAGGATCTTATGGGCCAATTAAGGGCAATAGAATCCCTTAAATGACCATGACCGTCTTCTCTACCCTTTTCCAATTTTGATACAGTAAAAAAGAGAAGCAACTGAATGATGATAAAAATATAGAAAAGGACAAATAGGACTCTGAGTCTTAAAAACGCAGTAATTATATAAGAAGAAAATGATCAGCAAAATTAAACCTAACTGTAATCCACCATATATATTAATGATGACCAAAATAGCAGCAATCAAAATTCTCGACCAACCCAAGACAGTACAGATGACATACTTCAGAACTAAATTATGAGAATCCCAATTATCTCTGATTATGTATGCACAGTAGGAAGTTTGCAATATTCCAGACAAAGTGTTGCATGGCAACCAAATTTTTTTTGTTAGAATACTAAATTAGAGTCTTCAGGAAATTCTAGTTATGCAGTAATTTTAGTTTAAAACATCAAATATTAGTCACCTTTAAAACTAATTTTGGAAAGTTGTTAGAGAATTGGCCATAAGCAGGTCAAAATATTAGTTGGTGGAACTGTATATTGTTTGCCTATAAGGGACACAGATAAAGCATGATTTTTTGGATTTTTTTGCAGTGCAGGGGGATCTCATGGTCTACCAGTGGACATTCACAACATCGTTTATGCTCCTACTGTTAAAATCATGCTTTTAGAGCAAACACACACTGTACGTCTCTCTCATACCCTTCTTCATCTGATCTGATCTCACTTAGACAGGGCTAGATTTCAGCTGGATCTCTCAGCCCTGTTTTGGACTGAGGATTGACTCCCTATCTGATTCCACATGGTTTCCTAACAGCTGTGTCCTGAAGTCACCTCAGCTTAGTCATAGCCATCTTCGTTATCCATTGTGCATGGTCTTTCCGGGAACGGTCCATAGGTGAATTAACTGAGTGAACTGCTGCTTCTGTCTGGTGTTGATAGGGGTTGAGGAATGGGGAATGTAGGTTTCACAGAAGAAGGATGCTGTTTTATGGCCTGTGCATAATCAGGCTCTGAGCCCTTCAGACTCCAGAAAACACATTTAGTATATCCATTACAAACTCATACTCTACTGCCATCCTGTTTGTGCTCAAACCCAAGGTCTTACACCAATGACTAGGGTCCTATGCTAATATAAGCTAGGTGACCTTATACTCTTAAATTTTCTACTTCAGGATTCTCATCTGTAAAAATCAGGAAAATGGTAACACCCACTTCACATGTTCTTGTGAGGATTAAATGACCTGCTGCAGAGATGAATGAGAAGGGTGACTTCTCAGCCTGTGTCTGCTAGATACGTGTCATTTCTAGAGATGGAGAAGAGAAAGGACATTTCAGCCACCAATCAAAAGTAGAAAGACATGGAGACACCTGTTGGAAATTTCTTCACAATTTCATGAGTTGTTCAGTGGATGAGAGAAGACAAGAGTCTGTAGAAAATTGCATGCTATATATAATATTAAGCTATACTCACGTTTGGCTAGTTTAAGAGATTTTTCAAGAGATTTTCACAACTGTTTAAGTATGACTCATAAAACAACTCATTCTTCCAAAACTGGCGAGCAGGAATTATCTCAAATAGGGCAAAAACCAAAAACCAAAAAACAAGCGTCAGAGAGGTGAATTAACTTGCTCAAGTTTGAAAAACTCATCAGTGCTGAATCAGAATTTAAACATGTTCAGATCCCAAATAATTACTCCTTCTACCATACAATGTAAATTATGTGGTTTGAATGAACATACAGAAGTTGATGAAGAGATGACTATAATGTTTTCAAAATAATAAGCAAGATTTTAACCAGAATTTAGATGTGGCTGGACTGTAAACTGCATTAGGACAGAAACTACAAGTGTGTCTTCATTAGTTATTTGTTTAACATCTTTTTGTTGCTAGAGTGTAAGTCAAATGAAAGTCACAGCCAAGCTTGAGTTTGCCTTTGGGCTCCCAGCGTCTAATAGGTGTTCTATAAACGTGTTAACTTAACAAATAACAGCATGGATGGCCCTGTGCAAGTATGAAATAAATGAATGTCAAATTAAATTGAATTGATAGCTTTATATAAATTAGTGGGGAGAGAGGATATTAGATAGGGGTGGAGTTTAAAGATAGATCAAAGTTACTGGACCTATTATGGATCTTGGTCTGGATGGTGGATATGGGGTTGTTCATTTTCTTTATAAAAATTATACATATAGGGTGCTGGTCCCCTGGCTGAGTGGTTAAGTTTGCATGCTCCGCTTAAGTGGCCCAGGGTTTTGCAGGTTCAGATCCTGGGCTCAGACATGGCACCGCTCATTAGGCCATGCTGAGGT